CTATGCGTACAGTGCAACGGCGCGGATTTTCCACACAAGTCGGACACTTTGTGTAGTCGCATGGATCGGTATCATGTGGGGCAAGTTGATCACGGCATATACAGTGTTTGTCGTCTGGCCAGCAAGAACCTCTGTCAAACAGATGGCAGTGGCAACCCTTTACTCTTGTATCTCCCTCGCAAATGCGGATGTCGAACCCGAGGGCCTCGTCACGGTAGAAGGGTAGCGGTGCGTAGTATGCAGCGTCATTGTCTTCTAGGTAATCATGCGGCTGAGGCTTATAAAGAACTGGGCGATGAGGAGAGCGGTGGCTGCTCGGCCCGATGGCAGTCATGCTGATAGGCCTTCAGGGAGGTGCTCGGGATGAGCTCGGAATGAAAGGGGTAACAGAGGTGATGGAGTCAGTGCATCGTGTCGGGCCTGATCTATATGGCTGGCGCCGGTGTGAGAAGATGTCAATCCCGATATGGATAGCCAATCACGCCCGCTCCGGGGTTAGCCGCGATGACAATCGTGATTGCGCGAATGCTCTAGAGCTCGGATTGTCATCGGGACAGTGATAGCGTTGATGTCGAGGTTGCCCATGGCAACGCTCGTTGTCGACATCTTTGCATCTGAGAGTTCCTGGTGACTGAACAGTCATCTGAAACTAGGTGCAATTTAGACATTAACCCACGATGGCGATCGGCCTTATGAACTGCAAGGTGTTCATGTTGCTCATTGAATAGAGCAGTATACAAGCTAGATACCTGAAGCTGTCTATAAGTAGGATCTGCCAACAGTAGGATCTTGTATATGGGTACCCTCAGTAGTAGCAGAGCCTTTGAGATTACATTAGACTAGGGAAGGTAGCCATACATCGTGTACTATATTGCAGATTTAATGCTGCAATCAAAAGTGTTGCTTGTGAGGGAGTGCAAGAATCTGGACAGCGGACAAATTAAAAGATATGACCTTGGACATAAGCTTTATGTGCTGATAAGTTGTGACCGTACTGTGAACAGCAACAAAGGACCCGATTGGTATCTCTTTGTTCCAGAAGGGATCAACTGGACTGCGCTGTGTCAGAATGTCGACTGGGTTTACTGTGCCGGGAGAATATAAGTGATGTGTTGAGTTAAAGACAGGGACTATTATTATCTGTCAGTACTTGTTATGTCAGGTTGAGTACTGCTTACTGGTATCTGTCCCGTTGCGTGGACGACGAATTATGCTAGAATGAACGCGCCCGCTATCATTGGGTTTGATTGCTGCTGATGTTGTCGGTTTACGGATAAAGGCCTGACCCAGTCTCCCAGTCGCTTTCTCTACACAGAGAATAAAGGGTACAGTTAGACCATCAGCTCTCTATGAAGCACGGTTGTACGCACTCTTAAGCTCCTCCCCATACTCATCGATTGGCGTATGCTTCGTCGCAAACGAGACAGCACCTCCTTCCACGTTCAGAAGACTCATCTGCTTTCCTCCCCCGACCATGGAGAGCATAGCCAACATACGTTCTCCTTCCTGAGCAATAAGGTTCATCTCCAAACTTTTCAATATCCGAGTTGTCCCAGCGCCAGTGTAACTTCGGCCTTCCACGACTTCGCTCTTGGTCACAAACCCAAAAGCCAGAACACCGGCATGTTCTCCTCCATTCCTAAATGCCAGGGCATAGGACTGCCCAGAAGCTTTGAAGCAGTAGTCCACAGGAGTATCACGAGATGGATTCATGATGAATGCATCAGGAATGCGCATGACAGAAACAAATGCTCTGAGTCGACTAAATACGATAGAATCAGCAAAGAAATCAAATAGAACTTCGGATAGACACGCACTCAAGGTTCATACCCCTGGGAAACAGAGTTTCGTCAAAGAGGACAGCTAGGTCACTGTAGGGCATGTCATGCGATGGCTCAATCTGACTAGTCCTGTATGCTTGTGAGCAGGTTGTGTATCTCAAGGCATGACATTGATAGCTTACTTTAGCTCTGAGCAGAGAAAATAAGTTCCTAGCAATGGACCGCATTGCTTGCTCTCATCTGTCACCTCGCAACCGCGCTGCTCAGGGGACCTTTGAACAACATTTTTCTGTTGAGAGGAAAACATCTTCAAGAGTCAAGGGATGTCAGAGCATTAAGCTATCCAGAGCTCGACAGACATACCTGGGTATGGGAGACCGGGGAAACTCTCTCAATAAAGCTGACTCCAGTCTTCTTCTCGTTAGCATAGGCCTCCATTCTGAGTCGGGTTACACCTTGACGCTTATATCTTGACACTGGCCCGCCCTTTTGCTGAGGAGATGCATTGTGGCCCTTGGACATTTCAAGCTTCCTGTTCATGAAATCAATCATCCGAGATAATGTAAAGCAAGTCTTGGTAGTGCAATTACCTTGCAGCAACAACTGCGGCGACCCCTTTCTCCAAAGCTCTTTGCGACCTTTCTTTACTAATGCGACTAAAGGAGAGGTTCGATATGAGATCTATGATGGATGGTGCATGGTCCTTCACACATACCGTTTGAATAACTCGTACTCTTCCTCTTGCGCTGGCAATGTTTGAGGGCTGTACAGATTCTACGTTAACATTATATAGCAATAGCCAAACGGTACGGCGCCTACCGCTTCTTTGAATCAGCCTGTGAGATATGCGTTGACCCAGTCAGCTCATGCCTACAACAAGCTTCAGAACATGTCATGCTCATAGAGTAAGAAAAGAACCCAAACCTCAGGTTTTCAGGCCGCGGAACCATGACCCGTTCCTTCTGTCTGGACTGCATAGGATCCTTCTCATTCAGCTCGGCGATATCAAGCTCGCTAGGACTAATCATGTCGAAGTCTCCTTCCAAATACTTAGCGTTACCATCGACGATCTGGTTACCCTCACGATAAGTGCCCTCTTTCTTCTTGTGACCGTTCGCGAAGTCTTCCTCAGCGAAGTCTTCCGGCCAGCCCTCAAGATCAGATTCCTCCCTGTCCGATTGTACCTTTGAGAGGCCTCTGTCGTCTTCGCCTAAGTCGTGGAGGGAATGCACTCTTTCGACAGATTCATCTTCTTCATCGATGGGGGAGTGCTGGAAGATCCTAGACTTGCGATAATCTGTGCTATCTGCCCTCTTGGTGGCGTACATAGTATCAGCGAGTCTAGATTGGTATGAGAGTCAGATTAGGATTGATGATAGCAAAAAAGCCCACAAGCACCTTGAGTTCTGACTGCGTCTCAACCCCTGATTCACGTGCCTAGTTGACTATGAGTTCAGTGCATCATCAAATACGAAAGACAGTGCTAACAGAGGACCGCGGCGGCTACCAACACTCGTATGAAAGCCCTGAAGTCTGGATCTTGAGACTGCATTGAGTTTGCCAGCTCTGAACATATTATGGGAGCACTCACGTCTTTGCCACTGCATTATAAGTAGATTCTGATGCTGGAAATGATTTTCTGGTTGGATGAGTGAAAGCACGTTCCCTGTGCAAGGTATCATCGATTGAATCGTCGATTTCGCCGAAAATATTAGAGACGCTGGATAGTGATGAGTAGACTATCATGCCGAAAGATTGGCTACTTACGGGCCTTCCTGACTATTCACGGGCTTGTAACTGGTCGCACGGGTAGGGCGACTCTTCAGAAACCCTCCGCCTTCCAGCCTGCAAGATACGATGAATACCGCGATTGACGATATATTGAAATACAAGCATACTTGATAGTACCAGAACTGGTTGATACCGCAGGCATACTGCCATGCTTCATGTTACTGGAGCTGAGAGACATTGTAGATACAGAGATTGCGGATAGAGCCTAGCGGGAGGTGTAATACTGCGCAGTCGAGTTCCTGTTGGAAGATATCGAGGATAGTATTTGGTGTGTCTGATGCATGCCGGAGCCTGACTCTTATACTGTATCGTATATGCAGACAGCTTTGTAACATAACGAGATCTCTGCTTAGAGAGTCATAAGATGTGTTATCTCTGCCGGCAAAAGAGCCACAACATACAAACAATCATCAACTCTGGCCTGTGCCACAGAATAGAACAGATCAAATGCGGCACCCATGCTGTAAGAAACAACAATACTTGCTGTCATGTGCCCCATAGCATGACACAATGTACAGGTGATGTCATACATCTGTACCTTCAGCAAGACAGGCATCAGTGGAATGCAAATACATGACAGAACTAAGCGCAGCATGTTCGGTCATGGTCCACAGATGCTGCAGCTGCGGTGAATCAAGTATGGCATTAGTCTATAAGCAATTAGGCCGGATATCTAAATGCAGTGATTGGCAAAGGCTCAAGATGTACTATCAAGCGCTATCTAAAGGGGCCTCATGATGATTAATTCCGTTTGATGAACAAGAGGCCATTACCGATGAATCTCGTAACAAGAGTGATTCAGTTTTGCAATGTAGACTGTACGGCATGTTACAAGCTTATCTGTACGTACCAACATATTGACTATAAGTAAAGCAATTGTGAAAGCACATACAGTCAAACAGTCCTCTCCTGTCATATTACCGAAGCCGAATCTACATCCTCTCGCCGTCTAGCTATGTCAGATGATACCTACGTCTGCTCTGTCGATGGCCTCGAGCCAAGCCATGCATTCATGTATACGCATGAAGCACAAGCCGTGATCTCAGATTGCTCTGATAAAGCTCTACTTCCCATTAAGGAAAACCATCAGCTACAAAGCTATGCAGACGTCAGTCGAAATGATTCACTCGCATCATGAAGAAAAGCTTACATGAATTTGGCAGCATAATTTTGCGCTTGGAAACTGTTGTTGGGTTGAAGATGGCCATGAAACCATTCTCTGCGAGCGCACATCTCAGTCAACATCCAATCAGTTAACATTAGAGACCACCGGAGTACTATGGAGGGCTGGTCTCATGCCATTCATGAGTCGCCACGAGTATGTACAATAACTTTCCAGATCAGGGAGCTGAAGAATCTCACAATGACTGTGCATAGTCTGTACCGTCAAGGCGAGTTTGCTCCTCCGGGGTGCCAATGGGCAGTATTAGCAGGGATTGGATTGTCTTCTCATGACCTATGCTTGAAGGCATTGGACAACATCCATACAATGGCGTCTTTCAGGTGCCCAGAGGGTAAACTGAAACCGCTCCTACATTTGGAGATGAGCGGAGAACAGCTAATATGCGCCAGCCTCCCTATCTGTACGCCTTGCAATATGATACGGAAGGATCTGGAGGTACTTTCTCAAGACGATTTTTACGATCCTAATGGAGTGGCAACCTCATTCGCAGCAGGGAGGCATTCGGCCGTGACCGAGGACAATTTGATAGAGATATCTCTAGCTGAGAGTGTCACAAAGTGAGACCGATTGAGATGCAGACGCAGCATAAAAACTTACTATTGGGTAGTACAGATACTTATGAGTATCATCAATGCAGCGGATCACTTGTGCGCCATGGGCAGGTCGTCAAAGCAAAGGTCGGTTTCCGCATGACAGAGAAGAATGGGGCATACACTCTGCACACAGACTTAATTGGCTTGGCTATTCTCAATGAAGACATTTCTCAGGCGAGTGGCTCACAGATGTAGAGATGAAGCCTCTGCTTACCATCCAACTAGACTATTGCATTTATGTGCAGAAACGAGAATATTCAATCAAAGCCACGCAGATTGACCATACAGTCTTCCGGCCCGTCCAATGTTGTCAGGCGTCACCGCGGCCGCATTAACAGTGTGCGAGCTCATCATGGATCCGGTAAGCCTGCCTGGCAGGGCCAAGAGCCAAAGATACAGGATAGCGATTAGTTTCTATCTACAGACAGTCGAGCACGTCAAATATGATTATACAGGGAACTAAGAGTGCACCTTGCACACTGAATATCGTATCTTGTCACGTCTCATTCATCTCAGTGGCTGTCGCGTCTACCAAGACTCTGCATACAGAAACCGAATACGTCGACATCTGTCACGTAGCTTGTAACAAAGGCGACCTTCCATATCAACTGTGATAGATACAAGAACGCAGATGAGGCTTGTACATGTGATACGTGTGGGGTAATGCAAATACAGCGATTAGGTCATAGGACCCGCGAGCGGTTTGATAACACCCAAAAGCCGGGTGTGTTTACAGAGATGATTTTCCCCAGTGACTACATTCCACTTCCAACTCTGTAGGTCGACAGGGTCGACGCTCATACTGACCCATTTATAGTAGTCCGAAAAAGCTCTCTGCACCACGCGTAGGTCATACTTACTAGATTTGCCTGGGTCTGGAATATCATTAGGAATGAAACCCATCGCACGCAAGCCCTTGACACCACCGCTGTTGACAGTGCGTATGATCTCAGCCATGTCATCGAAGGAGGGCTCTTCTAGATGTCCTGCTGCAAAATAGTCCCCTGAGAGGTATAAAGCATTAGAATGTCGAGCTCTACTTTCATAGTTAAAGGACTTGCCTGCGATATGCAGAGCTAGGAGGGGACCCACGAATCGAACCTTAAACTCATGTTGAGGGCCAACGCCCTCATGCAGCAATGCCCAGAAGCGTTTGAAGGACCTCCCTGCGCTTGAAGGAAAGGTACAGCTATCCCAGACCGCCTGCGCATTCTTTGGGTGCCTATAGAGATTTCTCCCGTAGATGCGTCCCGAGACGAAGTATTCTTCGCCTCTTCCAGCTTCGCTCTCGACGGACCGAAGTAAGTCCTCAAGGCTAGTAAAGAAGCTTTGCTTCCCGGAGAGGAGGAAAGGCGCGTTGTAAGAGAGGAACCGTGTGACGACTGCATTCTTGAAACCCAGATCAGTGAGCATGACGTCTTTCTCCTGCCCACTGAACAGGCTACGCATGCATTGGGCAGATGGCTGTAACTCCTTGAAAGGCAGGTACATGTCTTGGTTTTGAGATGCAGCGAGCAGGAACTCTTTGTCGGCAGACTCCAGATTTTGCCGCCTTCCCTTCCATACCAAAGACTTGATACCTTCGACGTCTGATCTAGCGCGTTCATCGAATGGCAATCCTGATGACATAACAAACATCAACGCTCACTCAAAGGTGAAAAAAGCCGAAGCTACTCACCCACTAGCAGGCCTGAGAGATACAGCGAGCGAAGGATAGCTTCACCATCCGGAGGATCCCATACACTGTCATTTGAACTTGTCTTCCATCTATACGCCTTCCCCATGATCGAGTCGAACATTTTCGCGACATGCATGACACGGGCCTTGTTATCGAACACGCTTGCCTCTAGCGACAAAGTTGCAAGCGCAGACAGAGGATGATCGGGTGATGACTTCGCCTTGGATATCAGGCCAACAAGAGGAAGCATGTCGTCGAGCGATGGCTGTTTGGTAGCAAGACGCCCAACTATGCAGCGTGTCTGTGGGAATCTCCATGCGTTCCACACGCAGACGTGGTAGAGAGCATCGAAACCCCAAACGTCGACCACAAGCCATACAAGCCAAGCGCGCAGGCGAGCATCTCGTGGATCTTGAACTCCCAGGAAATCGCCAAGAAAGCCCAGCAGTCCCGCGTATACTTGTCGCTGACGCTCAAAGTCTGAACGAGCCGTCCGGGCAGCTGGAACTTCTAGTATGACGTGATGGGCGGTCGAAGCAGATAGGAGAGGCGCTATGTCGATCTCGCGAGTGGTGACACGCGAGTCGACCATATCCCAGAGATGAGCGCTGATTACGCCTAAGCCACTACATCCCTCAGAGCCAATCATTTGCTTTTGAGAGAAGAGTGCGGCCAGTGACTCTAACTTTGCCCATACGATAGCCTCCATGGCCATCAGAGCAACAGCCGATGACCTCATGGCAATCCCGGACGCAGACAAGCCGCTGCGCATGATTTGTAGATCCGTCCAGGCCGCCGACAGGCCATCCAGAGATGTTTTGAGTGTCTGAGATGGATCGAAGAAAGCAGAGGCGTCGACAGACTTCTCCAAGCTCCAGGATTTCTTTGGGCGCCTAGTCGCTTGTCCAGGATTTGTCTGAAGAAAGACGTCGATGAAGTCGCTCTCGACGGCCTGTGGGCTCAAGATGGCACGACCTAGAAAATATTGATATCAGGCTCATATCAACGAAATCAATAGATATGTAGCTTACCATTCTCAGGCACGTCGTTTAAACGCAAACACGGAGAACTCGGGGCAGACCAGTCTTGCATCGGACCATTCAGTGGATTCCACCATGGATGTAGGACTGTCGCTGCCGATGTATCGAAAGAGAGGGTGATGAGAGGGGTTGTATGCGCTCCGCTAAGGCGGTCAAGAATATCCGTGTTGGCTTGCGTGCAGAACGCGACTCCGAATTGGGACACCCAGTCCAGATAAGCCTTTGAGAGCGCCGCACGCGATACGCGGGGGTCGGAGAGCAACTGTAGTTTCTCTGGCTGAGAAACTGGCGTCGCTGTAGCAGTGTAAGCGAAATCAACATTGACGCGATCCTAAGAGAACTTCTCACAGCTATCATGAGTCCTGGTCTTCTTGCGAGGTCGAGTTGGAAGGGCATCATCCGAACTATCTATTGACTGAGAACGATTTGCAGGAGCCACATGTCCAGACCGCCGCGTAGTCGGTTTCTTTGGCGTATATTCTGTGCCTATTATTGATTAGAGCAAAGAATATTAGAAAGTAATGATACAATTACCATCTGTGTCAGAATCCTCAGTCGTCGGATCACAATCAAGGTCCCGTCGACGGGTTTGAGCAGCCTTACGTTTCGTCGGTCTTTCTAATCAAATTTGGAGAACTCAATCAAGGCAAGAGACGTCGAGTGAGAACCACATACCAGGGCTGGGCTCCTCCGGTGATGAACCTCTTCCATTTATCTCTCCTGACGTGCCGGTCTTTGATGTACCAAAGTAGCGCACTTGAAAAAGTATGAAATTAGCGTCTAAACTGGTGTTGCTGTTCTCACTCGTACCAAGGGTATAGTTATTGGCTTCCGGTCTCTCAGCACCGTCTTGCTCAGAGTTCTCGGGCTCTTCTTCATGGATATTGAAGATAGGAGGAAGGACTTCACCCCTTTCGATTCGCTGGGCGCGTCTGTCTTGACGAACGACTGACAGTGGTATGACGCTGTTGACCTTCTCCGAAAACTCGTTCCACTCTTTTGCCGCAGATCTGCGCTTGGTGTTACGAAGCGGATCTGATTATGGCGGATTAGGTTTGCTTCGGAGAAGGATGGATAGAACAAAGGCCCACCATTGATATGCGGTGCAAACTCCCAGTCTCCCACGGTCTTGCGCTCTCCATCCTCTTCGTAAGAGAAAGCGGAAAGAAACTCAGAAGTGCTAACTTGGATCTGAGAAGACGTGAATGAGAGTGTCAGATATGAGACGGCAACGGGCATTGACCTTCAGGTGTGCAGGCAATTGACGAACGGCAAAAACAATCATGAGATACAGTGCTCTCACAAAGAACGTCACCAGACTTGTCGGCGTCATGATAGACCAAGCATCTCTCGCAAAGTTTGGATGCGTAATCCAAGCAGGAAGAGATTTGTCCTCCGGGCTGCATTGACGTTAGAGTTACACAGATCACAAAGAAGTCGAACGCGCACTTGTTCATGATGTCGGGGCCAATGGAAAGATAGCGTTTACTGGTTAGCACATCCGGATCACCCTGATCAAGCCCAGAGCGTAAGAATAAAAGTCGAGAGCATCATAAGGGCCACATACCTTGGCAGAAGCCGTTCTGGATGCACACAAAACATAGACTCCAGATGCAAGATAGACGACTGCCTTTGGATATGCGACGAATGCAACGCGGTACGCATCGACTGGGATAACTACACCAGCTCGCTTTGCTCTTGGAGCGCTTCCTCCGTGATACTGTACTCCGCGGAATACAACAAAAAGTGTGCCATCCAGATGGACAAACACACCCAGCTCATGAATCGAGAACTGACCTGCGCGCAGACGAAGTTCAGATCACAGTCCACTCTTCTCTAAAGGATGACATTTACCAGGGTCTATGTCTGCGGGAAGATTAGAACAAACAGACATTACGCTGAACCCCTCGGCAAGGTCCTGATCATCTGTGTGCGGTGCGCCAAACGAACCCAAATCCTTCATGTGGGTACCATCTTACACCTGGTTAATATACGCGTAGAGACTGATGGCAAAGGCCATACCGGTTTCCAACGGGACAGGGCGCGCCAAGTTGACCTGAACAGAGCTGAAGTGGTCATTATCATCTGACACAAATCGTGGGGCGTTGACGAGATCAGCTTGCTGCTTGAAGGCCCGTTGATACTGAAGAGGCAGATACTTGGATGCCGCAACAGATGCGTTCACAACAGCCTGAGATCAAAGCCGTTGGTTATCAAACGTTATACGTGAAAGAAGGAATGCCTTACCTTCAACGCTTTTGAGCGCATACGAACCCCATCACAGTCGCGATTTGCAGGAGAGACCTGCAGAAGACATGAGAACAAATAATGACGCCATGCGTAGCACAGTACCTTCATAAACTGCCCCGGCCCAACTGTATTGCCAGCACCCTTTTGCACAGTTGAAAGGATTGGATATGCCCTCGCTCCTTTCTCTACAGGGTTGGCAAATCCGGAGCGCTCCCACGCAGTCCCCCCCCTCCCATCCTTAGGTACATCAGCGCCCATATCGCATACCGGTCCAAGCAGTTCGTCGCGTGCTTCGCGCAGATCTTGACCTAGTTCCGCAGAGGACAGATTGTGACTTTTACAAGTTGGGTCAGTATGACTCGCTGAAATTAACCTCATCAACTCACTCTGAGAGAATCAAGACCTGCAGTACATCATCCATTCCGTCTTCGGAGCCTCCAGGTGGACGGGCAAATACAGCATCTCCAGGACGAAGCTGAATGAAACCTATGAAAGCAGGTCTGTGAGTATAGAGAGGTATGAACCGCGCCCAATTGCATGCAAACGGGAGCGTACCAGCTTCCAGTAGCCCACCCACAAACGGCGATTTGAATCGATACGCGCGCGACGCCTCGTGCCTCTTCTTCGCAGCGTCTCGATCGTTCTCGAAGTAGTACACAAATGTAGTGCTTCTAGAAGAGAGATCCTTCACCCCTGAGCTCAATTCTTTCCCAGCAGAAGGATAACAATGCGCCCGCAGAGGATGAACCTGACCAGCAGCGAGCCGTTTGAGTACAGGTAAAGCAGCATCTCGGCTGGCACCGGGAGCCAGAGGGACGTCTTCGAGAACGAGAGTCTGCATGATGGTAGGGAAGAACCCATACTTACAGGCCTAGGGGACCTATATACAATCTCAGAGCTAGGAGACATATGACGTGCCCTTTCCCGAAAATTATCTACCCCTTTGCATTTAGGGGTTTATTGCTTGAGTCCTGGTCTTGAAGGGGTGCCTTACAGATGGATGTTGTCCCTCTGCTTAACAAACAAGGCTGATGTACACTTCATGCAAAGTCAGACTCCTTAGAAGCACAGTTACATTCAAGCATTTCTGCACGCCGCTTGCTATGTATCATTGAAGGTGTGCAATGAGTGCGGAGATGAAAGCCACCTCTAAATGAATACACAGAGCGGATACAGCCGAGAGCCCCTCTGAACAGTAGATGACAGGGGCACCGGCAAACAACATTGCCGGTTTGACACACCCGGCTACAACAAATGCGATTTGCTTCCGACAATGTCTGCGAAATGCTGGTCCTGGGTCAAAGGACCTACAACACTATCAAAAATTGACTTGCTTGGTGACACATGCTATCCTTTCAAGACCAATGACCTCAGCATGCTAGGTGTTGATATCTTGCAGGGGTTCTAGATCCAGCCAAACCATACAGTCAATCAGTCTTAGCAAAGAGTGCATTAGGGATACCAAAATGGAGCTGTATTGACTCGGTGCTATGTACACAGTGTAGTGTTAACCCGGTATCCCTACACTGAGTTGCAATATCACGCAATTTAATGACGACCGGACAGGAAGATCACAAGGATGTAAGGGCTACAGGAACATCAAGTAAATCAAAAGGCGTATTGATAGACTCCTGGCAGAATGCTATTCAAGGCTGTCATCTCAGCTAGATTGTATTATCAGAAGCTGTACAGATCACCAGGATATCAAAAGCAGTAGACACAACTAGTAGTGGCGGGATGTATATTAGCTAATACCCATATGTTTGGAATGTGTACACAATCTAACACTATTCTATCCATGCGGACTTATGGGAGAGTTTGTTAGAAGGTTGAGTTCCCCGAGAAAAGATTATATATATTCTAGTGCGGGTTAACGTGAGCAAAGATCTCGAAAAGAGTCGGGAATGCAAGAGGGACAGGGCGTGGGATTTAAAACGTCTAATCTAGTTTCCAGAGAATACGGCTAGAAAGAACTCATCCTATAGAACAGATACTCAAAAGCCAAGGAAAGAGAAAGAGGATGAGGAGGCTCTGTACATCGTTGCCACGACCAATAGACTCGTTCCGAACTGCCCTGAGGACCCTGCTACATGTTCACGTGTTTGACCTGCACATTACTACCGATTGCGCTGTATCTTGTTCTGCTCACTGCGCCTAGAACACAACCATAGCATTACATCCTGCTGTCTCTTGTATGCTGTGCTATATCCCGCAGTATTAGTACCCGAATACCTCACTAACCTGCAAAATGCTGTGCACGCCCAATAACAGAGGTGCACAGATAATGGATGGCAATACTATCGGACCCAGCGCTGTTGTTTGCATCCATACTCTCACTATCTCTTGATATCAATTGTCTCATGTACCGACTTCGCTCTCACTCTCATTACTAGCTTGCTCTACGGCCTTATCTCACATTGTCTCAATATCTACAGATCTGTATGAGAGACGAGCATTAAGAGGTAGCACTTCATCGCCTATCAACCACCACAATGCGAAGACGTCGGATCTTCAAGACTACATGGCATCGCCGAGACCAAAGAGCTAGGTCCAATATCACAGCAGAGCACACTCCAGTCCTCAGGTACTCAGGTAGAAGTCCAACATACATTCAAGGAAGTCGGTCAAGATGGGACAGAGCAAGCCAAACCAGTAGCCTGTGAACCATCCCGGCACGGTACATCAGCAGATACTAGAGCCCTCAGTTCATGGGCTAGATAGGAACAAGGCCAGTCGGAGTAGATAGCAGTCCTAGTATAAGCAGACTTCCCGAAGTCGACATAGACCAGTTCTAGTGACATATCCTACTGACCGACGCGTATCAACCCACTCAGAGCTGGATAGCAGTGATAGGAGAGCTTCAAGTCGCCCATGAGATGCAAATGTGCAAGCGCGGCGACGCTGAGCACCAGATGCAACTCCGGTTGATCTAGAAGAGCCCTGGCCGACGCTACCAGCACCTTGTTGATTCATGACGCACGGCTGTAAAGACAGGAACCTTCAGTATACTGAGAGATATATCCTCCGTAGCAAGCATCAAATGCCAGCAAAATACGACAGAAAGGAAGCAGAGACAAGCACGAATAGCACGAATAGCAAGCTCGCGTGACCAGGTGGCCTCTAGGCCATAGGTCCGATTGCATTACAGAACTCCCAATGAGGTGGCGAGTAACCACTAGCCGGTGACAAACCCGATCAGCTAGCGAGGGCAACAGACAAAGGTGGAAGAGGGAAAGCGAGCGCGGTTGCCAAAGTGGTGGTTGCCAACAAGACGCGTCCTTGGAGTTCAACGCTTTAAGGAGGTGACACGTGACCACATTCCCGCGCGACAGCCCCCTTGCATGCAGGCCTTGCGGAAGAGCTGACAACCTCAGTACTACGTATAAGCATGGTATGCGCCACACAGACAGCACACAGTTGCAACTAACTTCACAGGAAAATGGATGAACGGGATGACATCATCTTAGCTTCTAAACACGACCAAACAACTACATGGCTTGTCGGGTCCAAGCACACGGCTGGCTGCTGCTGTCTCTCAAGCTCCAATAACCGACTTAGAGCAATCAGTCTACAGTATTGAAGTCACGGCTGAGATATATCTAAGGACTACATACTAAAAAGAAGAGAGAAACAAACCAGCAATCATTCACCAGGGTCACAGCAGTAAGCAGAACACTCAAATACACCTTCACAAAGCTTGGTCTCAGGCCTATGGTCAGTAGTGCATGAACGAGGCCATACAAATGAAGTAGAGACAACGTGAGAGCAACAAGAAATTGTCGACTAAGTACAAATATAGAGAACAAACAAGACCAGGGCAGCAATTTGTCAGGCGATTGGCTCGAGTCGAAAGACTCCAGCGTACGCGTCAGCTTCCAACAGATACCCATGTAAACACTGTAGAGGGTTAATATACTCAAGAATCTCTTGATGAGTTGGTATGGCTATATCACTGTCAGCTTCCCTGTGAGCAGAACAAAAAATCGGCGCACTAAAAATTGAGTCCAGCGGTACTTCGCTGCAGTGATCTGAGAGCCAAGCAGTTTCGTCAGAGAAACAGCTCAGCTGATTACGCAATCTAAAAAAACGAGAACTGAGCAAATGACACATGAATCGTTGGAAAACACATACTCTTGAGGGCAGACAACCTCACCAGCTTGACATAAGTCACATAGCTCCCTCTTCGTGTAAATCCACCATATCTCGCACTATAAGTGCACTGAGCCGCAATAGAATACAGTGGAATACAACAGCATACCATGCGAGCTGTACCAGATCGAACCTCAGCTAAAGGTTGGACCCAGGTAAGTATACCGAATAAGAAGCGACAGTCAGATGATGTCAGAGGATTGGCTGACAGGAGCATAACTCTACACAAGTTAGCCTAGCGACCTAAACTGGTACTTTCTACAAGTGTACTGACAGATCTCCTGGCCTCGCACATCTGATATTCACTATCTCCCCTTTCGTATCTATGCACCTCTCAACTGGAGAGAACGGGATACTGAAAGGCAGACAAGTTGAATTGTTGAGGAAGAGAGGATGGACTCAGTTGACGACTCACGTATTGCTTGCGATATGAGGCACATGCAAGAAGTTCATAGGCTCATCCGGAGACATTATCCAATAAGCGTTGTGAATTGTGGGGACACCGAAAACCTCAACTAAACACCCTATATAAGGTTTTTCCCCGCCATTATGAATCAGAAACACAACATCATACACGCACATTACTAACAAGGCGCAGCATCACTGTTCGGAGTTCGTAATTGCTGGAGACCTCAAGAGCTCTGGAGAAGACAAAGAGGATCCTAAAGAGACCGAGTGGATGATGGTAAGAACATAACATCTAGTCATACAGTCTTCCGTGACCACATCAATTCATGCATTTAGTAAGCGCATGCTTATGACATCAGGCCAAGTCAGATACATCAAATCGTGACAACACAAGTGACGTTGTTGAGGCTGACCGCAGTATAAAGCAACATAAGGATAGGGCACCAAGTACCACTTCTTTGCATTATCACATGGTCATGAAGAAAGAAAGATGACGAAACCATGAAGAGAGAAGTGTTGTTGAGATGAACTGACTGAGCGCTCGCATACACAGCCACAGATAGTCGTTACTCGTGCGCGCACGGGTGATACATAAAAGCCGACAACAGTACACTGGAAAGACGGCATTGAACCCCCAGCCCTCTCATTAGTGCCGCAACAGAAGAAACACCTCTAGCACTACGAAGATGTCTAGCGACGACGAGCTACCCTGCGATCTCAGTATCTTTCATTCAGATGAGTCTCAGTCTCGCGATTACGTTGTACTGTGTGGGTATGAACCCGGGTGTGGGACAAAGTACACAAAGATCCTGTGATTCATAAGAAGATACCTGGAGCTAATGATACGACCTTGTAGATTGGATGCAATACTATCTACACACAGACTAGAGGGAGCTCGAGTGCTTCGGATGCGATCCGAAGCTGCAGCCATCAGACGTTGGAGGCGGGCCATCTCAACCCGAATGGAAGTAGCATGTATAGGCAATGTGTCAGAGGAAGAGGTAACTATAAGATAGAAACGAACATTGCATGTCAGCTCACTGATTCTCTGTGTTTCCAGAGAGCTATTTACACAACGAACCTACGTCGCATCCTTCTTGATGCTGTTACAGGTAGTGCAACAACAAGTCCGGAGACTTCCCCTAAACAAAGCTCAGTAACTCTAGGATCTCCACCGGTAAAGCGTAAGGACCACGTGCGCATACCAGAGGCACTACGTAGCCATGCAACAGCCGAGTCCAACAAGATTGGCAGGACTGATCATGCTGGAGCAAACCAAGCACAAGCCACGAAGTCAGAAGAACTCGAAGAGAATGGATGTCAGCAGCTTAGTTCGGACTGCAAGACCGGAACAAATCAAACACCGCCAATTAACACGAATGCTGATCCACCAAACGATGGAAACAGTAGCGACGAATACGACATTGCGCTAGGGGGAATGCCAAGCTTAGGACCCGAAGAATTTCCAGCGCCTGTTTTGAATGCTCAGCAGATTCCTATCAACTATGCCCCACCAGACAGCACAACAACCATGGACTATGTTCCAAGCAATGCTCCAAGCCCTCTGGACAGTGTACGAGGAGAGATAGGTCGGAGGCCCTGGTATGTTGTGCCCATGTCTAAAAATCCAGGCATATATGCATCGCTGTGAGTTCTTTTGATGATGCCCCGACTTACAGACGGTACTGATACACCTACTCCATAGACCGGATGCCAATGCATCTAATAAGGGATGCTTTAAGAAATGTCTGACGTACGGTGCGGAGAACTATGTAGAGGCACTGAGAATCTGGTTCCAGATGCGCAACGATGGTAAAGTTATCAGATATTAGCATAGTGCCCCTAAGTACAAACCACTGGGAGAAGTACAGATGTATGATTACGATATTGCTGAAATGCTCGAGTGTGGACATAACCTCATATGATAATCGAAGAGTTTGCTGGAGTCAACTCGGCAGAGAATGTAACGTGAGAGCGAGGAAGCCTTGCCTGACGACAATTCAGAGATGTCTACTGGCATGTCTGTAAGAGGAAAGCGGCAGCAGGCTCATATACACCAGCCAGGCCCGCCACCAACGGCGCCACGTGAATAGCACAAAGGGAAACAGATTAGGGTTAGGGTTTGGGGCGTGAGAAGTGATGCTCGGGGGATCTGGCTTGCGGGACAAGCGAGATCGGGGTTTTCTTCGGTCATTTATCCATCAGCCTGTACTGTCTATACCTCACCTAGAATTGACTGGGTTCGAACTGTTGACCAGTGTGAGCTCTATTCGACTAAACCCCTTCTGATGTCGGTCTGGTCTGAAAAAAGATGGTCTATACCTCACCGGGAGAACCGAATTTACAACACCGAGGGCTCCTGGCGCCACTGTGAAGTATTCCAGCTCCGGATCAGACCAAAACTATACTGATAGCAGACATTGCTTAGAGAGGTTAGACGTGTTGACAGCAACAGCATGTAGCATAGCTTTCCCTGCTATCAAGCGAGCCAGCCTGTGTTGAGAAAGCCAGGTACATACAGAAAGGAGCATGAGACAGAGAAGATGCGGGTGAAGCTAACTGGCAGATGCTAAAATGAACGACGGCATCTTACACAACAAATATCGGAAAGAGGACCTACACGCTCATTAACGGGGTTGATGGATTTAAGCGCCTTGACACTCAATGTGTCAACTTCACATCAAGTCGCCATACATTCGCGCCGGCAAGGAAGCAGTCGTGTGAAGGGGCACAGCGCGTGTCACGTCGCCGCTAACAGCTGGCGCCTATTCTCTGAACTTGCCGCCTTGCACGACCAATCCTCGCTCCCCAGTCTAACCCTCATCCTCAAGATGCCTCACAGCGACGATAGACCAATGGACTTCAGCGAGCTTTATGGCTACGAGTATGCCGTGAACATTTCAGGTGCCATCGGGGGACCGGTAACGTCAGTATTCGCGTTGCAACGCGCACAAGCGTGCCAGCGTGCACAGCGAGCTAACCTGATTCCATCACACAGGACTACCAACATGGCTATAGCGGAGTATAACACAGCTCTTGACGGGATGCCCTCAGCAACAAGTCGGGAGTGCTTTGACGGCTGCATGTGCGTCGCCGTTATTTGTGCACAACCGTCCACTAATCTCTGAGCGACAGAATCGCATACATACCGGACCCGGACATCAACTACGCTGAAGAGGCGCTATGGTTTGCACTCGTCGTGAGCTCAAACGAGCACGGTGGACCTGTACAGATAAGGCCTCTTCTCTCGGGAGCGCGGTTGTATGCGCTGGCGCAGGGGAATGTCCCGGGGATATACAACCCAGATCAGTGCGTATGCCATGAACAGCGCCCGAGCGGTTTCAGCTAACTGTCTCTCATAGGCTACTACACGAGCTGCAGCAAGCAGAGGTCGACGGAACAGCTCAGTTACTCATATGCAATGCCGTGCATGATCTACCTTACACCGACATCCGCCGTAAGCGACACTTCACTCCGCACGGCCTCAACCTGACTCGCCAGCTGCTTAGACGTACTCACTGTCGGTGAGTTCAGGACCTTGAACTTTGACGGCACTTTGGCGGTTCGCTTGCAGGCAGATGGCCAAACGAATATCATCGAGACTTAGAACGGCGGTCCAACGTCAGTTGACCTTGACAGGAGCTGTACCTGGAAGCACAGATAGTACAGTGCAGTGCAGAGCGTGCGGCGTGAGAGATCGAGACTCAGTACCTTACCTATGGCGGACCATGAGCCCTATCGCCCAATCCTCGTTCGATAGGCGAATGCAAATTTGCTATCAGTTAATGACAGTAGCAACACACATTTTCTTTAGACAAGCTAGTAGCACGATCGTTCAGTCATATTGTCGCACCATGCTCATATCAACTGCCGCGCGGGCAATGGTGATGGAGTCCTGCTAATGATTGGATCGGCAAGCCGTATGCACATGAAACGCCGAGGCTAACATCAAGGGAACTTCAACCACGGGGAGTCATTTTATCCCGATTATATTGATCGGGGTGCTCAGAGTGGGGTATGGTACTCATCTTCACGCGAAGCAACACGCGAAACCTTCTTTGCCAACCCAGCACGCACATAAATGTGCATGGATGCAAAATCAGTAACGCGAGGAGATCATGTCACCGCCCTTTGGATCAAGTCAAGCAGGCTGGGGCTCCCACCCGAGACTCAATCCCTCATTGCCAGCGTATCAGGCAGATCAATCCCGACCTCCACAAGCAATGTAAGTAGTAACGACAGCCCTATTGGTCCCCAGATGCACTGAGCGCCGCGATCAGCCAGAAACCGGTCAACTTGACATCTCGACTGAAGCTCGGTGCCGCTGAGTCAGCGTGAGACGCGCTGTCGCCGTGTCACCTGTCCGCAAAGGATTAGGCGCCCGAACGCTCTTCTACGAACCACCGCCTCTCCTACCTGAACGATCATGGATCTCAACGCGCGAGCAGTCAACTACGCCTCTCACCCGGACTTGAAAGACGTCTTCTTGACGAACGCCGGCCTGAGCGACTTGGACCCAGCGGCGGCGCTCAGGTAAGGGCGTGGGCGCAGATAGGGCATAGGGCGACTACCCTCGCAAATTGCACCCATACTGATATGCTCGACTGCAGGAAAAGTGATGGCCACAAGGCCGTGACGTGGATGGACGGCGCAGGATGGGTTGTTGGATATCGAGAGTGCCAAGCAGGTTGCCTGTACGTGGCAAATATTATATCTGGAATTATCCACTCACCATCTACTCAGAGTGCGCTACAATCCCGCCAACACCGGCGACGAAAACCCTCCTCTCCAGTACAGCGGCTCCCTCGATACAAGTGGCACGCTCGGCCTCGTCGAGCGCATCTTGGCGCCTGACCAAAAGACCGCCAAAATTAGGCGCTTTATATCGGGGCAAGCTCTCAAGAGGGCGCTGGACGAGCGCGAGAGCGGTATCATTAGCGGTCAAGCGTACGTCTACCGCTGGTCTTATAGAGAAACCTGACTGACATGCAGTCACGTATGCCAGCACCGCCACCGCCATGCACCTCTTGAACATCACTCGCGACACGCACCTGCTCACGAACCTGACGGACATCGTCGGCGCAGACGAGATCAAATGTAGGAGGGCACTTGCATACTCCATAAGCCTATCAGCTTACCATGCATAAGTCGTCCTCGCCCAGGAAGATATCCCGCTCGGCCTACGCTTCAACGCCCGCATCCGCTGGTACCCGGATGGTCTCGTACAGACTGATATTCGTCCGTTTTGATGCTGCGTGGCTCATGTAAGATTGTCTTGGATGTATATGTATTAATACCGCGTCAATATCTACAAATGCTCTGGGCTCAGTCGATCCGCCGCTGGACATACAAATCGACCATTTAAGACTACAGCGGTAAGAATATGAAAAGAAGAGTGTACGGATAATAAACTGACAATACCCGCGCTTGACAATGTCAGGCTGATGCCGTGTACACTGGCGCACTGAAATTCCGATCACGGCAATCGCCGTGATCCGCAAACGCACGTGGCGCCGTGTGGCGCCGTGTGGTATGCTCTTCCGATCGGACGCCCTTTCCAGATATCCAGGGTTGGACAAGGAGCCGAGTTAAACGAGAGAAGGGTATGATGTATCGACACACTTGAGACAGCAAGACTCACAGGTGTACTTGCATGATCATTTGAGTAGCCTACCGTGACAAGAGACACTGCCTGGAAGCCTACCGTGACAAGAGACACTGCCTGGACAGCCTCTGGCCCTGGCAGGTTCCCAGTCACATACATGTACGGTATCTTTCAGGCTGATACACAGGATACACCCATAGCTAGGTTCATCTATAAGACGAAGTACAGGCAAACAAATGCAAAAGATGCCAACACTAACATCGGGTACCGGCCCGAATCACCCGGACCGGAAATGACCGAAACCACGGAAGTCGCGGCACGCGAAGAGCGTGCGAACAAACTTCCTAAAGGCGCCCAAATTTCAGGCACGGCAAAACCTGACAACCATAAATCAACGAGTCAGGGATGACTCGTAATCCGCCGGGGCACCGGAAAATGCATCCCACGTAGAGTGCATAGATGTTGTCAT